CAAAAATAAATACAGTTCTTTTTTAAATGTACAGATACTGAAAAATGTGATCATGTAAAACACCCCCTGTAATGCTATCATACATATCAATAATAAATTACGTATTCAAACACTACATTTGCGAACACCCCTACCAATTAATATTTCAGATTGTTTACGATACGAACACCTTCGATATGTTATTTTTAAAAATATTGCAGTAAAACATTTAAGTTTATTGTGTGCAAGCAAGCGACGCGGGCGCAGGATGCGCACGCGCACAATAATTAACGTTATGTTATAAAACTTGTTAATTAAAAGAAAAATGTTTACTGTTTATATGGAGTATGAGATATATCTAATAATTTTATGTTATTTCCTGAACTGAAATTTGATAATTTGCTGAAAAATTAAACCCTTCGTATCGAAAGTGATAATCACAATAACAATGTATTTATGTTTTCAGTATCCATTAAAATCTATACATTGTCCAAATTTGTCAAAATCACGGCTTACTAATAAAATGGAAAAGGATTCATTGATTTCGTACTACGAGGACGGACTACGTGCTACGGACTTCGTAGTCTGTAGTAAAAAAGAGAGTTTACTTTAATTATTTCTTTTCATCAATAAAGTCAAACTACCCATATATTATTATTTATAATTTTAGCAATTACTGGTTTCCATGCCTGGTGAAATTTAAAATTATATATAAATAATTTAACGAAGGGTTAACAATAATTAGGTGATTATACCGCAAATTAATGAATATTTTCTTAAATGTTTAATCTTGTTAAATTACGTAACACCACATTTAATTGATTAAACGTAGTGAACGTTAAGTATTTTAATTTAACATAGCAGGAAAAGGTAATTTAAAATATTTTACGTTATAGGTATGAAAGTCAACGAATGCCTTCCTAAAAAGGTCACGCGTTTCCTCTATCCGATGTATTTTTGCTACCACGGTACTAGCTCACCTAAAGATGTCGTTTACGATACCCCTCACAAGATTGCGATCACCGCTTAAAACCAACAAACAGGCCGAACAGCATTGTGTGCTAGAAATTATCATTGTACCGAAACTAGTGATTCCAAATCGATTATTTTACAACAAAACCATTGAAAGGTTGATTTGGCAAAAGGAGCGTAAAATATTCGTCACCCATCGACACCGTGGCATCGATCGCTTTGGTTATTAGTCTCTACTAAGAGGGTGGAAAGCTAAATCCTAATTTGTCATGTCCACTCCCTCAATAGACGTAATCGCTTTTTTAAAAGACATTTAGCTTAAATTCTGACATTCATAAAATACCTAAAAGATTTGAAACATCTCGCGTCCCAATTCCGTAGAAATTGTCACAGTTCCATAGATTATCCGCTCCGATGGACCGGCCGAGTGAAAGTAGAAACACATCAGTTTTGTAAATCAAAACGGTCTTCAAAATATTGGTTATGATTCACTCCGAGCTAAGAAAGTATGACATTTTTGATTTTCTATCGTTTTCTGATCGCTTTAAGTGGAGTGATCTGTTCTTTAGAAAAGTTAAGTGAGTCTACCGTCTATTGTTTTATAAAATTTGTTGTAATTTTGAGACACTCTGTATCTACAGAGCATCTGCTCATTGTAATCATTTTAAGTAAACAGATATTGGTCCGACTGTTTGCCATGCAGATGGAGAGTACATACATAGATTTAATGTTGATTCTTTTAATCCAGTTCTACGTCATAATCATAATCAGCCATAGGACGTCAATTCTACATATCTTATTTATTACTTGTTAATTTATTCGATGCATAGACATTTTGCAAATTATTTACCTACTAATGTCATAATATTAGATTTATCCGTTTATTCAAATTCAAAATAAAGTTGAAATAGAGAATCTAGGATACCTTACGTTGAAGAACTTAAGTATCTTCACTCCATTCTATTTGTTTGTTTACAAAATTATCAGTTTCTGTTGCTAAGTGAGAATGAGCTTTAGTAACGATATGTAAATATTTTGAACATTTTTAGGCAGACTAGTTTTGAAGGAATGTGAACTAGAATAAAAATAATTAAAACACAAATAACGAAGGCAGTTAAAAACAAATTCCCAAGTTATGTATCCGCTTATTTGGAAGTTAATGGTATCCGCTTCTTTATCTACGATCGTCGATCATATCAGTTTACTTCTAGTCTAATAACAATGTAGGAGCTTCATGATAATCCTTAATCCTAATCCGTTGCAAGTCCCAAACACGCGGAGCTTAGTAATGGCGAGTTAACATAAAGCACGCGTCACACTGACCGACTAACGCCCGCCCCACCAATGCGACAAGCGGATTCTTAAAAAAAATCGTATCACGAAATTAATTTTTAGGCCAACCTACACGAGGCGCCCGCATCGAAAATTTGTCGCGCACAGAAAGAGACAAAACATACGCTATAAACG